TTATTGAAGCTTGGGGCGATGGTACGGTTGCAGAAAGGGCAGCTAGGAAGAGGATCGTGAAATTTAAAGCTGGAGAGATCAGTCTGGACAATCAGTCGCGCTCGGGCCGTCCACAAAAAGCTCCATTACCAAACGGTTCACTAGCATTTTCCCCTACGCGCCATTCGTGCATAAGTAGCAACATATTTTGTTCCAACGACAGCTCCATCTCAAAGCAAGCATAGGCAGTTGTATACCAAAATGCTTGCAAGAAAGTGGGAAATTGAACGATACCAAATCATGCAATTTTAATCACTTCTGTTAATAAATTTGGTGTATGTCACTCTAGGTCAAAACTTATAGAACTATCTATTACTTCAATAGAGACGAACAACAGATTTCTTCTTAATAACAAGAGTGTTCATCTTCATGTCACCTGTTAAAAGAGAAAAACAGACAACTGTTCAATGAACTGCGTATTTCAGCGCTGACTCAGTGCGTTTGAATACTCTGTCATTTTCAGTAGTGACAAACCACATTTTTTTCTGTGTATGGGCTTCTTTATAAATTAATGTACTTCTCCGAAAATCCACTTCGCTCTTAGATTAATCTGAGATGTATGGAAGAAACTCATGGTCCCTCGGGGCTTTGCTCAGAGAATTAGGCAAAAACTTAAGCTCCGTCAGGACGTTCGTTTGGAGAATTTGCTCTTATGAAAAAACTATAGTCGCCGCAGCATAAGAGTTTGTACAATTACTCTATTGGGGATAGAAGGAAAAGTAATGCAATCATCAAAAGAGCACTGTCCAAGCTAAGTCATTTCGAAAGTTATGTTGATTTACGATCAATCAAGTAGGTGTTTACCAAATCATAATCTAATCTTTTTTTTTATGGTGACATTCAACCTTGAATAAGGATTACTCGTTATACCGCCTTCCTTGAGAAAGCAGTTTGCATAAAACAGTTACAAAGTGATACAGTCAAACACTAGAAGCTGAATGAAGAGTCAGTAAACTCTAAAAGACTCTCAAACATCGTTAAATCTTCACTTATGATGTACATGGTTAAAAATGTGCCGACGTCCGTAACAAAGAAGAGAAAATGATACTATGAGAGTAAATAGAAAACAGGCGACAATTTATAGGAAGTTGAACTAGATACAATTCCATCGCAGATTCACGTAGCAGTTCGAATTACCCTGGGTACTTGGGTGAACTGTTTTCCAGGCAACATCAAGTACTGACGTAATCGTCAAGCGGGATGGCTTGTACGTGAAGTGTCAAAAAAATTATGCCAATCGTCGTCAATACAGAAAATGTAATCCTTTACTAAAAGAAGGAAATTTTGCCATGTTACAGGTTTCTTCAAAGGTGGCAGCCACTATCCTCACTTATTCCTATCTTGCCGACCGAACGGAAATTTGAACATTTTTAGGCCCAGTTTAGGGATAATGCAAATGTGAAGGACTTTCTGCTTACACAGTACGCACCCAGGATTATCAGATTACAGTGACGAGAATTCAAACTAATAAAAGAATATGCGAGTGTTTATTCAGCTATCACAGTCAAATAAGTCAGATTCAAGGAAGCGTTAAGCGGCAGCTTGAAGAAGATTTGAGTCAACTAATGATACTTTTTATGACTGCCAATAACCTCCTCATAACTATAGTTCTAAGACATCTAATAGAATAAGAGGGCGTTTGAAAAATGAAACTTCGAGTATCCCTGTAAGGATAGCTTTCTCATGAATTAGGTTGCTGCCAACAAACTGCAGTATTTTTTTTTGTATTTATTTCAAACTATGAAAAGAATGTTAGTTGGTGCAGTAGCATTTGCTGTCATAGATTGTGAGTTTAAAGTGGGTCGTAAAGCAGCAGAGACAACTCGTCATATTAACAACGCATTTGGCCCAGAAACTACTAACGAACGTTCAGTGCAGCTGTGGTTCTAAAGTTTTGTGAAGACACAATCCTGGGAGACGAAGAACTTATTGGCCGACTAAGAGATGTTGACAACGATCAATTGACAGCAGTCATTGAAACTGATCCTCTTAAGATTATACGAGCCGCAGGTAGAACTCAGCGTCGGCCATTCTACGGTCACTTATCGTTTTCATTATTTTTTAAGTAGTCTCCAAAAGTAATTCAGGTTCCAAGCCGGTCACAACCGCAAGTACTTTTACATCAACCTTATATCATTTTTTGATATATTAGTTACATCAAAAATGGCCATATAATTCTTAATAGTCAATTTCCGAAGGACAATGGCACACTGAATTGCCAGAAGCAATATTCTTCTGGACATTACAGATTTCTGATAGGCGAAATCCATCTCGTTTTTACTGTTCACTTTTCGTTGCACCCAAGTCCCGATGATGAAAGAAGAATTCAAAACATTCCATGAATCTCACCAGAAATAAAGGCAAACTTTTACGATTATCAATTAATTGTGGTGTTGAGTGCACGCACACGTAGTGAACGTAAACAGAAATATCGTCTTACCTATCTATAAAATGTTTATGATGGAATTAAGAGAATGCTTTCGGCAATCCTCTTTACTAAAGACTTACTGGAAATCGATTACGATCCGGCATTGACTTGAACGTTTGATATGTATTAGGTGCAGGTTGGAATTGCATTACACTACGACCTTCTTCTCGAAGAGCTTCGATTCCTAATACAAAATGAAAACGGAATCGTCTTTGTAATCTGAGGGAATCCATCATACACAACAATGTTAGAGGGACCAACGGCTATGATTACCTGATTCGGTAGCAAATTTGACAAATTTGTCGACCACTTTCTCCACGTCTGGTGTCAATCCACCTAATGCTTTACCTTTGGAGGCGGTTTGTCTTAAGGTACCTTGTAGCTGAAATCTGACTCAATAATGAACCTTTCATCTTACTTATAGAAAAACGAATACTACCAGTCTCTTCTTCTCATTTTGTGTACTGTCTTCTTTACTATCGACCTGTCCCTCAAAATAATTGTTTTGCTTTACCAACATAATTCTCCGTCGCTATCCAAACTGAGCTGCTCGTTTAAGTTACATTAAAAGCATCAAAATGGCTGTATCAGGTCGCCTTAGATGAGCAAACAGATTTTCAGTATTCTCAGACCAACGTATTAGTAACCGAGCAGCTAGTCTATGAAGAACTACTAATATAATGATGATAGTGCGCACTGATTTATTCAAAAATGGTTAATAGTTAGTTAAAATCTATTGATGATTGAATTTCCAGAAACTTAACGGACTTCAACATTCAGCATTATTACTCTTATCAGGAGTTAAAACTTAGCACAATGCTGGAACTTCCAAAGAATTTTGAATGACTGTTTTTTTTTATTTCCGCGTTGATTTATCTAAGTAAAAAACTAGTGATTCAAGTTCCTTTTCCACTTATCGCCACCTTTTTCTGCATTTGTGTTCCTTCGTCTGATTCTCCTATATTCTTGTCCGACGGAGACTTTCGTGCTGTACGTATCACTTTCTTCTAAAATACCACCTATATCGCATAACTAGTGCTATAGAGGTGAAAATTATCTTCAACACTAAAAATTTACCTTATTTGAACGCCTCTGCCGGTGATATGATGCTGTAATATACCCAGTGATACAGAGTGGTGTGCGAAAACTTTTGCGTCCGGTGGGTTTCGAATTCACATTTCACCCTATCCTGGGGAGCGTGCTGAACCGTTGCACCACCAACGCCCGTTTTGACACCACTCATTTACTGCACAACACATCATTGAGTATCTTCAGCAATATAACTAGGTTGCGCAGTGATAATGATGCCGATCAGTAAGAGTAAGAGAGGGTATATCTAGCTGTTTTGGTACGTATCTTATTGGAAACAATCAATATTAATTACTGACGTGGACAGACGAATCTCTAATACTATTCAGAGATCCCAAGCAACAAGAATACGAGTAACACAGTGGCTGCAGGAAGCCGTAAATCGACGCCTTTGATCGGCGAACAACAGCGGCTTCTACCAGTTTTCCATAAGAGTGTGACTTATTTCGTTTGCGTTTAAAAAATCCCATTGACAGAGTAGATGGAGCTCCACCTACTCCCACAAAACACAAAGATTGCTCGTCAACACTACAAGATGAACTCATTGCAGATCAAGATGTATAACGGACAAGGTGCCACACTAGTAACCGATAGACTCAGAGCCAACTTAAAGGGCAGAAAGGATAAAGCTCTCGGAGTTGCTCAAACCCTGAGGGATGGTCATGCATTTGTCTTCAATTTTTAATTTCGTTTGAGGTGATTGAATGCATATCTGGCCATTATAATGACTCGCGGTGGCCTCCCGGTGAGCTAAGTCAGCGCTGCTTATCCTCTTAGAGAAGTCTGAAACCAGTCTGGTACCAATTTACCTATCCCGGAAGGATGGATGGCTTGGTGAGCCGTGAGCGCGAGATTGAACCATTGACCTCGTGTGCGACGCAGAGCACCTCTTAGCACATAGCTGCATGCGCTCCCGGAGCCAACTTAGATCATGAATTTGAGCCAATCACAAACTAACCCTACAGTAAATCTGCAGATTTTTTTCTCCAATTTCAGTAAACAACCGGTGAACCAAATAAATCGACCTATTCTTTTGATAAAGCAACTAATCCAGTAATCAGCTGTTCACCTTCAACTTCACGCCACCTCATGTTGCCTCAACTAGCAGTCCAGAAAATGCTTGTCAGATTCACATGATAACTTCAACAGCTGTCATAAGAGACTCCCAGTTCCATTCAAAACAAGTTTGCAAAACGGAAAGTACTTGCACATAATAAAGAGATAATAATTGTGCTGTTGTATCTTGATTTTCTCAACACATCTAGATAAGTATTTATCAATCTTATATATCTAGTTTGACATTTCTCCATGCATCTCATCGGCATGAGAGGTGTCCTCAAATCATGACGATTAAAACTTATAAAGAACGATTTATTCTAGTCGATTTGTCATAATTTTTCTTTCCATGTACACCCAATGATGTAGAGTGGTGTGCAAAAACACTCGCGTCAGCTGAGATTCGAACCCAGATCTTCATTCCGAGGGTATGTGCTAAACCGTTGCGCCACGGACGCTTTTCTTCCACTCCACTCTTTCTATGCTAGAACGCGTTAACTGTCAACAGCTAACCGTCGACGGTGTGGCGGGGTGGTCATTATCGACACTGAATCCACTCTTGTTGACAGATATTAGGTTTCAATAATCGGAAATCATTTTATTCACTTTGGAAATCACTTTCCAAACAAGTTTATCAAATGATACTCTACTCCAGCACCCGAAACTTTGCCTATGTGATTTGACAACTCTCATCGATCTATGTGTGCGTAAACCATGTAGACTCCCTTTGTGAACATCAGAAAACCGGTATTTCAGACGTGTACTTTGAAGAACATTGCTGACTGTTTTACATGAGTAAGAAGTAATCAATGCCACTGATCGTTGTTGTTATCACTTCGAATTTTTTTCCCATATTTCCATGCAGACGTAAAGAAAAGCTTAGTCCTACTCCATCACCAAGCCTCATGTTCACTTATGATCTACGCAGCCGATAGAATGTTGTTCAGCATCATACATAAATCATCTCTTGCTAGGTATAATTCTGACCGAAGATGAGGATAAAGAATAAAGAGTAAACGATGAAGCGTACGGAGCTGACCTCCGTGAAGGGTGACCCCATGTTTCAATCTCGCCAAACATCATCAATGACAGTTGAATTCATATATGACCGATGCAGATAGAATATTTGCTGACTTCAGCATGGATTCGAACCAATGACTAAGTGAGTATTGCACAGCTTCCCTGACAACAGCGCTGCGTGCCACCCTAGGGAGGAAACCTTCATGAGAGCAGTGAATATTGTTGTCGGATATAAACCTCCGGTGGAATACTTATGGCGGATACTAAAACATTGTCTCTATCAGAACGATTACTTGTATTAAATTCATATAATGATCATCACCAAAAGACGATGTCTCCGAGCAGTGTGTTCATCAATAGACCACATGCTGTGTCGTCTCACTGTTCATTAGACTACACTTATCATGAAAATATCTAAACAAGCCCACATCTCATTTAGGATTATTATCATTATATAACTTTGGTGGTGCAAATTTTATCGATACGTTTTGATTTCACAAAAGCTGAACAGTCAGCCGACTAGGGTAAGCCATTCTTCATGAATTCTAATACGCTATGATTTGAAGATAACTCTCAAGCTACTTGAGATATTCGGTAAAATGTTAACAACTTCCCCATGATGTTTTATTGTCTTTCTTTTCACGTACTTTAAAGTTGTGATGACAACCAACGATGTATACTTATGATAATCTATGGTAGAGTGCGCCATCGAAAGTTCATCTCCGTACCGTACACAAGGCCGATAACCGATGTGTTCATCAACCGAATACATAATGTATTGATTCTACTGTTTAATACAATACACCTACAAAGAAAAGTGTCTAAAACAAGCATACAACTCATTTGCAACAGCTCACTTTTGTTACGTAACCGTGTAAGGGAAATTCTATCGATATGATCATGATCTTACTATCCTGACTGATTGGTCAGGATAAGTAATTCCTCATGAGTTCCATCCATCACATCATGACTTGACGACAACTCTCATGACAGGTAAGATGTGCGAGAGTTACTTTACAATTGTGTGAACAATCTATGGAGCACGAAAAAGCTCTCACACAGTCATTTTACATCCTATCACATTTCAAAAACACCTACGACTTCAGCTGTCATAAAACAGCCCATAACTTGTTTGTGATTCGGCTCATTTATTATCGAAAGACCTTCACCGATCGATTGATAAGCATAGAGATTACTCGTACGGTACTGCATAACGATGTTGGTTACATGAATCGCAATCGCTACATATGAATACAGATAACATTTTGTAGTGATACTAGTCGGTGATTATATCGGTGCTTGTGCCACAAAAATTGCTTGAAGTGTAATTTAATTTTCCGAAATTGTCAATAACCGGCCGTTCTCTCCAGCAAATCTAACATTTCAAACGTTACTTGACCAATAATCTCACAAGAATCCACTCTATCAAAGAAGTTTGCGACTTCACTCAGGCAAAAAACTGCACCCGAATCTTGATTTACAGAAAGCCATTACCAATAGATCAGTATATACTAAAGATGACGAATTATATAAATGACTAAATAAATCTCTTATAGATTATTCGTCTTAAATGAGTGGATTGCTCCTCAGTATGGCCATTGAAATCAGTATAATCTTCACAATTTCGAAGTACCGATAGGCCCTAATGACTTTTCCGACAGCAGAGTGACAGCCCAGAACGAGATTCGTCAAAGTGTACTCGGAAAGCAACTGTCAGTAAACACCCTTTACACTTTGTCCCAAAGTTGTGTGTAAAGATAAAAGCTAGCCTCTGTTGTCGTCGTAAGCTGAATCGATTAGTGGCAACCACGTATAGTACCGAACCATATCGAATTAAAAAGGAATGGGGCGATATTATCTGATTAAACATCCCAGAATTGAAATCACCCACGTTTGACATAGTAGAGCTGCCGCACTTCGGTTGTTCAGTTGTATAAATGACCATACTAGTTGGTCGAGATCGATTGAAACTTTTCAAAACATAAACATGCCTAATCAAAACGACAACTAGAAAGTGAGAATCATAAAAAACTCAGAACAACCATGGCATTGAGCTCAAACCGATGACCCAGTAAAGTTTGCATGTCGTTTATATTTACATAGTCGGTCTGGAAAGGACGGTGAAAATTGGCTGCCATCAGAATGTCAGTCACCAAACAATTATGATATCGCCTGCTTTAATATACAATGTTGGGTGATAGCTTGCAAGTCTATTGATACGAATCAACTGGTTCATCCCAAGAAAGGAAGAAATTGCAACAATCTCTATGCACGTTAATTTTTCCAGATATTTCTTTATCCAGTGAACATTTAATTAGAGATTTAGTGCTACGAAATTCTGAATTAATAGAAGAATCTTATCGTGAATTTCGGGTAGACAAAGTTGCCTGGGTAACCTAGGACACGAGACTGTAGGCGAAAAACCTCAAAACAGAAACGGCGACATGATTCTGATGCCCGTTCCAGTGCATCATACGTTGTTTGTCCTTCTCCTTCATGCATGCCAGGCCCAGTTTGCCATCAAAGGATCTATATCACATCGTTAACGTGACTATCTACAATCCAAACGTGTTCCGAACTATCTGAGCGGGGCTACTTACATGATTGTGCCGTGATTTCCTTGTAAAAAAAAAGTCCTTATAGTACTAATAAGCTTTATCAACGACTCGTCGGTCCGTTAGTTGTTCATTCGAATGATCCTCAAAAGATAAAATACGTCTCGACAGCGAACGAGCGAGTTAAGGACACTAGTAGAATTTAAAGTCCAGATATGTTACCCATGCTCAAGTCAACCCCTCGCCATAGACGACGACCGCGAGACAAAAAAAAGGATAAAAAATGTGCTGAGGTTCGTAAACTTTTCCAGACAGATCATTCAAGTCCCAAAGTAAGTGAGTAAGACAAATTACTCTAATATAGATAAAACTTTGGTCATGGTAGTGCAAGGAACTGTATTTCTAAGGTCCTAAAATGCGATACATTATCATCATGTCGTCAAAAGATTTCAGACTCCGAATGTAAAGACGAATTTATCGAGCATTTATCTCAAATTCCAGCATATTACCCGTGAAAAAAAACGTAATCCAAATGCAAGCTTTTGCCACAGTCATTAGCACATCCGCGACCGCAGCCAATTTCGCGGCTGCCCGACAAATCGAATGCTTCATCGACGCAAGAGCGCGTTGATTATTTGTTTATCAGTCAGCTATCAAAAAAGCCGCGACAATCTAAACAAATTGGGGAACGCTCTTGAACATGAACAGGGTTTGAGGAGCTCCAAAAAACCCGCCCCAGATGGCCACAAGATAAGGACCATGTTTACCGCAATCTGCAAACGCGGCGTGGAACATATGGATTTTGTGAACACTATGATCCTCATATGGTCGCCAGGTGCTAGAAAAAAAGCACTTGCTCCTATTATCGACTCCTCTTTGACTGAATTCTGTTTAGAGCGACCACCTTGGTGTTCAAAAACTGAGCCATGAAGTCCTTAAAACATCGTAGTTTCAAGATGGCGAAACAGCATGTATTTGCTCCTGTTGGCTGAGATTTGCAGGTCCCAGTTGTTCGAAACTAGTTAACAATATTCATCTTGGCCCGAGGTGAATTCTTCAAGAGTCTGATACCTACCTTGTTTTCGACTGCCATGTCGTCAACAAAGTCTTGAGTAAGACAAGTCATCAATAACATGTACGCGCTGACGGATAAACACCCTAGTAAGGTCATAGCATTGACCCTTCCTTATCGCTCACTCAAGAAAAACCTACGATCAATCAATCTACTTGACGGATATCACTATTGAAAGGATAAGGAACAAAACAGTACTGGACCGTCCACAGGAAGATTACCTCACCTACTCAACAACTATACGTTCGTTGAGGCTGATTGCTCAGTCCAATACCATCAAACAAAACCTCTGAAAAGAAACCCCAGAGGCTAGCAAAACCTCGCCATCTCATACAGGAAGAAGTCCAAGTCTGTATAATCAAAAAAAACCCGTAGTATACCCCCCCCCCCCCCTATGTTCTAGTTACCATGAACACCCCAGAATCGTAACCCCTCTCCCAAATCTCGTACACTAAACCCTCGCTCCCATCATCCTCCAATGCTTGGCTAACTTCTGCAGCAAGCTCATCACACGATTTCGACACGCTCTGCACAGTTCGTAGTTGTGAACTTACATGTTTATAGTATACGTAAGTAATGAAAACAACAAGGCTACTGCAATAAAAAAGTAGGACAAACAGTGAAAGGTAGAGCAATCACCATTCAACGCCACTAATAGTCTAAGCCGATGCCGTCGTTCGAACACACTGAAGAAAACATTACGAGGAACTAACAGCAGCAAATAAACCAAACTGTTGTAACTCAAAACGTCAAACTTTACTTCTCAACATTAATAAATTATACAAAATAATTTGGATCATTACCAGTAAAC